TAAAGTTCCCTGTTTTTTGGGGGGGGGGGGGAAGGGCTTTAGTACAGGAGCTAGTAGGTCTCATCAGTATATCTTTAAACTAGATGAGAATTGGGAAAGGGACAAACCCAGGCTTGCCAGGGATAAGAGGTGGGATGGCATGCCAAAACTTGAGGAACTGAGCACTGGTGAGATCCCTAAATCTACTTTACAAGCTGCTGACTACGACAAACCACACTTAGTGTTTCTATACTAACACATGCAGCATGAGCAGCAGGGAAGAGTAGCGTGAAGCTTTGGCCCAGTCCAAGAGATATGAGGTCATTGGCATAAATGAAACCTGGTGGGATGAGTCCTGTAACTAGAGTCCTGTGTTGGATGGTTACAGGCTCTTCTGGAGGTGAGAGGGCAGTCTTGTGTGCAATGATGCCTTCTTTCTGGTGACAAGTGATAGGACCGAAGGGAATGGCATAAAACTGTCGGAGGTGAGAGGGCAGTCTTGTGTGCAGTGATGCCTTCTTTCTGGTGACAAGTGACAGGACCGAAGGGAATGGCATAAAACTGTGTCAGAGGAGGTTTAGGTTAGATATTAGGAAAAGGTTCTCCACCCAGAGGCTGGCTGAGCACTGGAACAGGCCCCCCAGGGAAGTGGTCAGAGCAGCAAGCATGACAGTTCAAGAAGCTTTTGGACAATGAGGCTGGCTGAGCACTGGAACAGGCCCCCCAGGGAAGTGGTCAGAGCAGCAAGCATGACAGTTCAAGAAGCTTTTGGACAATGCATAGTGTTGTTCTTGGGGCTGTCCTGTGCAGGGCCAAGAGCTGGACTCAATGATCCTTGTGGGTCCATTCCAACTCAGGATATTCTCTGAATGCTCAAAAAATTCCAGATTTGCTAATATCTTGTGCTGCTGTAAGGATAGAGCTGAAATCATTAATAAATTTGGTGCATATAAAATGGATTATTGCAAAATACCTGTGTGTTCTGAAAAATGACTGTGGCTTTTTAAACTTCCTGTCTTATTAGGCACAGGGTTCAGTGGAGATTACAATGAGTATTTTGGCCTACATGTGGATGAAGATGCCTTGGTTTATCTGATGCTGGCCAATTACATGATTAAGTCCTTGCATCCAGAGTGCATAACCATAGCAGAGGTAAGATGAGAATTTGCCATCCTCAATGACATTAATATTGATTAGCTTGCTCTGGGATGTGAATTTCCTGTTAATTATCAAGTCACACTTTGGGTACTCAAGGAGTGACATGAGCTGAAAAATATTAATTAGTTGACAGATTTTGCCTGGTGGGGAGAAACAACTTGAATATGCACTTTGGGAATTTTATCTGCATTAATAGGTTATTAATTAATGTGGTGATTTCTTTGTTTTCCTCCATCACCTTGAACTTGTAATAAGATTTGTTTTTATTAGTTTATTGCTTGTGTATGATGGCCATTTGTCACTAGTGTTTCCTGGTACTAAAGCCCTAGTGTGGTTTTGCATATTTTGAATTATGTTGGCATAACTGACAATTACCCTTCAAATTAAATGTAATAAACCAATAAATGTTGAATATATAGGCTAATTTAAATTTACTATTAGATTTCTCTTAGTTTCCAAGGGAGTAAATAGACTATATTACTTGAGTTGATGGAGATCAATTAATTCTTTTGACTGAAAAATTTTGTTGGCACATGGAACTTCTAATAGGATGAAACACCAGAGCATTAAAATTCTCTTAATTAGGTATATTTTAACTGATATTTTGTCTAATCTAACAGAGGAAAATCATGTAAACAATGAGAGGGGTTTTTTGTTTGAAAGAAAAAGCTGAATCTGTCTGATATAATCAGGGATGATATGGATTTCTAATTAAACTTTGTGTTGCTTTACAGTATTTATCTTTGGAAAGCTAAATACTGCTTAACTTCATTTCTTACTTATGGTAAAGTTTTCTACTGTAGACAACCACTGCTTAAAAGCTAAATGGCAAGCTATCAAAAACAGCATCTGGTGAGCAATGACTAGTAAACTCGAGGTGGTTTGGTTGAGCTGTAAGCTTATTTGAAGTGAAATCTGTTAATTTTCTAGGTAGTCTTAAATTATAAGCATTCCTACCAATGAAATTCTGAGTTCATTCATATTCCATTACCTGGCTTCAGAGTTCTTTTTCAATGAGATGTGTCTTCAGTTTCTCTGGCTTAAGTAGAATGCTACTTCTTTTTCAATATATAATTTCCTGCCTCAGGGAGTCGCTACTCAAAATATAGAATTGATCAATGTGCTGCATGGTTAAAGGAGAATTTCAGAAGGAGAAACTATTGACATAATTGAAAATTATAAAAGACAGTGAAGAATGTCTGCTTGCGTATTAAATGAGTGCCCATGAGAAAAATGTTTTTCTCCAGCCATAACTAATGATATATTCCTTAAATAATATAATTAATTGATGATTTTTCAAACTTTTTAATATTCTGTATACTCACTGTCTTAGCAACTGCTAAGTTTGTATATGTTCCTGACTATAAGCTTATTTTTCATTTTGGTCTTCTAAATAAAGTTGTGATTAAAGTTTTTTTTCTAAGGAGAAGAAAATAATGTTAAGTATATGTTAAGTTACTTCATGCCTGAAGTATTATAAAAACAAACAGGCAAAATAACCCTATGCTGTGGTTTCTCTTTTTATAGGTAGCTCATTTCAAACTTGGGTGTGAATATGTTCTTAGAAATTAGCTGTTTAATCATAACATCATAAAATGGGCTGGGCTGGGAGGGACCTTAAAGATCATCTAGTTCCAACCCTCCTGCTATGGGAAGGGACACATTCCACTAGACTAGGTTGCTCAGAGCTCTATCCAGCCTGGCATTGAACACATCCTCGGATGGAGCATCCACAGCTTTTCTGGGCAACCTGGTCTAGTGCCTCATCACCATGAGAGTAAAAGATTTCTTCCTAATATCTAATCTAAACCTACTTACTTTCAGTTAGAGCCATTCCCCCTTGCTCTGTGACTACATTCCTTTGAAAAAAAGTCCTCTCCATCTTTCTGGTAGCCGTTTCAGGTACTGAAAAGACACAATCAGGTCTCCGTGAAGCCTTCTTTAGGCTTCAACAATCCCAATTCTCTCAGCCTTTCTTCATAGGAGAGGGACTCCAGCCCTCCAGTGGTCCTAGTGTCTTCCTCTGCATTCCAACAGGTTGTCCTTCCTATGCTGGGGACCCCAAAACTGGATGCAGCAGTTCAGATGGAGGTTTCACGGGAGTGAAGTCAAAGGGCAGAATCCCCTCCCTTGCCCTGCTGCCCACACTGCTTTGAATCCAGCCCAGGATGCAGTTGGCTTTCTCGTCTGCCAGCACACATTGCTGGGTCATGTCTAGCCTCTCATCCATCAGCACACCCAAGTCTTTCTCAGTGGGATGCTCTTGATCTCTCTTCCTCCCCCAGCTTGTGTTAATACTGGGGGCTGCCCTTACCCAGGTGCAGCACCTTGCACTTAGTTCTTGCTAAGCCTCATTAGATTCCCATGGCCAAACTGGTCAAAACCCAAAAAAATTTTGGTGCTGACACCAGTTGTGGAGCAATATACTGAGCCCATTTGTTTCTTCTAATGTTTGTGCCTTCAACTGGAATTATAGAGGAGAATAGAACTTGTGTCCCAGCTTCCCTTACCAACTGCCCCAAGGCCCTGAAGTCCTTTCTAATTGCCCTCAGACTATGTGTTGCCACTTTATTGCCCTCTTTGTGGAAGATCAGTAGTGGGTGATAGTCTGAGCACCACACCAGGCTAGGAAGCTTCCTGGTGGAAGTATGTTTATGGAAGACATACTGAACAAACTAATGCTGAATTTTTTTAGCGTTCAGTTAAAATTTGTAGGTGCAGGTAGATATAAATAGTATCAAATTTTGAATTTTACTTCCCAAAAATCTGGGTTTCAGAGTTGTTACTAAAGTAGATAGGAGCTGCTTAGATCTCAGAATTGGATCTTGTCCAGGTAGGCATCATGGCATCACAGAGAAAAGCTTTTGTTTCATATCATCCCGTCCTGTATAACTTGGAGACTATTAGTCTGTTTTTATCCTTTCTGACAGATTTACACTTCATTATTTGGTTTTTACAGCATGTGGAATGTGGATGGTTTCCTGTGTGATCTAATGACTGCTGACTAAAGGGGGATAAATCCCTTCCTTTGATCTCCTGGCTTTGCTGTACGTACAGCTCAGGATGCTGCTGGCCATCCCTGCTGCCAGGGCAGGCTGCTGGCTCATGCTCAGCTTGCTCCTGGCCCAGGGCCTTCCCAGCAGAGCTAGTCCCCAGCCTGTATGGATGCAGGAGGTAGACCATTCCAGGGTTAGGTTTTGACAATTGCCCTTGGTGTGACATTCCTGAGCTTTCAGTTGTTTGATTCCTCCAGCCAGTCAGGGTCTCTCTAGATGGCAGCCCTGCCTTCCACCCCTGGAATGCCATCCATGAGCTCCATAGCAATATGGTTGATGTCCTCACTTACGACAGTGTGTGTGTATCTGTGTAACTTCAGGTGTAAATATCTTTTTCACTAATCCAATGCAGCAATTGGATTGAATCCTGGAAACCAGAATGAGCTTCCTAATTAAGCTCTTGGTCTAGTCAGTATTTAATTCCATAAATTTTCTTGTGCGACACAAAAGGTGTATGTTAGTCTATAAACATTATCAGTGAGAAGCCATTCTATCATATAAGTTAATAAAATTGAATACTGGTAGATATTTTGCAATTATTGGAGACTTGCATTTTCTGTCCAACTAAGCTAACTTTAGAAGAAGAATGATGCGTGATAGAACTGCCTAACAAAATAGTGAAATAAATATTTTGAGAACTTGGGAATTACAAATTTAAGAATGGTCACCTTCCATCAATGTGAAACTGGAAAATTATGCAGTAAGAGCATGTCACTTTCCAGGACTAGCTGGATCAATAGTTTTGGTTTAGTACAGTTGGGAAAAAAAGTAAAGATTGTCATTAATTTTTTCCCCATTACCATACTTTATATTCAGCCTTTTATGCCATTCTGTATGCAAAATATCTCCCCATTGCCATACTTTATATTCAGCTTTTTATGCCATTCTGTATGCAAAATATCAATAAACAAAATGAAGGTTTATTTTGTATTTTGTTGACTACTTTGTACTTTTCATTGATTACTTGGAGCTCAAGAGAGCTAATTATTTCGAACTCTGCATGTACTGAGGTCTCTTCCCATTCAAATATCTAGCCTATTAAAATATTTTGAGGTAGAGTATTTGATAACAAAAGTCATAATGCTTTTCCCTGTAACTTTTTTTGCACTCAAACAGCAAATCTGGGTGTAGCAATCACTGGGTGGTTGTTTGTTTTTTTTCCCCTCCCTTAACCAGGTCAGTCTGTGAAGTTCTTTATAGAGTTGTGTTTAGAGAGTGTTTGTATACAAGTATTACTTTTTGGTAGAAAACATAAACTAACAATTGCAATGCTATGCAAATTATGTTGTGGGGTTTTTCTCTATTTAAGGATGTTTCTGGAATGCCAGCTCTGTGTCGGCCTGTTGCAGAGGGAGGAGGGGGCTTTGATTATCGACTAGCCATGGCTATCCCAGATAAATGGATACAGGTATTTTTTAATACATTCTGCTCTTCAAAGTGTGATGTTTTTTCTGTCTGTGCATACATGTAGACACTTCAGAATCGTACTGGCAACTTTTGCATTCTCTTTTTGTTAATGTCCTATTAAAATAAATTCTGGCAGGCTTGAGTGCAGGTATTAGTGGCTGAAATGAGAGCTGTCAGATATCATGCAGGTTTCAGGTGAGGAAGTTCAGGGGATGATATTTGCATTCTAGTTTTCTTGATACTATAGACAGACTCTCTTTATTTGAAATAACCTTTATCTTGCAACAGCTGTAGAATGTGTGGTCTGTATTGCGCTTGAACAGGTAGGTAATAACTTAAACATGCGCATATAAATATCAAAAACACTAATGAAGAATCAAATAATGTAGCAAACCCTCCTGGCATTGTGTATATTAATTGACATGGAACATAAGTAGAGCTGAAAGTTTTAACTGAAGTCAGCCTAGGCAAATTATACAAACATTTGCAATTGGTAAGTGGAGTTACAAAAGGAATAATCAATACCAGTAAATGCTTTTCAAGAACAGTAATATACTAATAAATACTGACTACATTAAGGATTTATATCGCCTTACCCTTAATACAGACAATCACAAGAAAAGGAATAAAACAAGAAATTATTTCAAAAGGCTTCTACTGATGTTTTAGACAATGTTTTTCAGTTAGAAGATTAGATCCAAATTCCTCAGGCTACCATGATGATCTGAAAACAATAAATGTTTTATATGACCATTAATGCTTCATTAAATATAATGAGTAGCTAAAAATAAAATTAAAATAGCCAAATTAACTTATCTTCAGCATCTTTCAATTTTGTAACTAGGAGGTGGAGGGCCATTGGAAAAACAGTTTTCAAACATCTTTTCAGAGGGTAAACTTAACAGCTTGGCATCATTGAACTCTGGGATGTCTGATTCAGGTATTTAGGTCCTGAAATTCAGCAGGTTTTTGTAGCAGCAAGAAATACCATATTGTGATGTTTTGGGTGGGGTGTTTGGATTTGGTTTGTGTATTCATTTTGGGGTTGGGTTGTTTTTCTGTTTTGTTTGTTTGTTTGGGCTTTTTTTTTTTTTTACACCTTTAATTTCCTTACCACACTTTAGGACAGGCAAAGATGAGCAATTTGCTAGGTAGGGAAGATGCAAGTGGCCAAGTTCATATAACAGGAAAAAAAGAGGCTAGAATTTTACAAGCACAAAACCCCCGATAATCTATTTTAGCAATCTCTGATATGATCTGCTTATTCTAATTTGCAATACGTGTATAGAAAACATGCCTATGCTGCAGTAAATTCTGTTCTTGAACGGAGAAAATATCACTTCTTCCAGCCTAAACATGTACTTGACATGGGACAGTATGGGACACTGGGATGTTGGGTTCAAATCAGCTGTGATAGTCTGGTTGTTTTCCAGCAGACTCCAGTTATTTAGGAATGTGTTGATTGTACAAGAACATACTGTGATGCAGGCAGGAAGCTTCTACTTAAAAAGCTGCAAATAAGCAACCACAGTAGAGATGCTGAGTTAGAGAAAGAGGTGAAGCATGTAGTTGGTTAGCATATTCCTTGAGGGGAAAATAAAACTGAAACAGTTGGAAGGAAAAAGTGTAGAAACAGTCTATTAGCTGTTATCAATCTGCCCTAGACTGCTTGCTCTCATATTTCACCAATTTTTAAGTACATACCTGTTGATAGTAAGTTTTCTAGGCAACTTGCTAAAATTGGTTTTAAAACTTGAAGGATCTTCAAGAGATTCCATGAACTAATTCTGAGGAATCCGTAAAAGTAAGAAAGATAAACTGTTTGTCGTAACAGTGGCTGTACTAGTTCAGATTAAAGATGGATGTAGTAGCTAATGTGATGCTGCATAGGGACCTGGATGTGTTCAGAGCTAGAATTTATGGAGTAAAAAAAAAAAAAAAGGAAAGGAAGAAAAGACTGTTTGGGAGTACTTGAGCAATTATGCTTAGAATGTTAAGTTTTACAGCCATCTTGGAGTTGTTGCCTTTTTATCACTTATTTTTGTGTCTATGTATTTACATGTATGTATTTCACTTGTAGTGGTCAATGGAGGTCTGTAAAGTAGTATAGGAAAAAAGGGACTAACACTGAAATTAAACTAGATTTAGAAGAGTGAGGAAATAACATATGAGACAGAAAGTTCCTATTAATGGGATTTAATTTAAGTCGCTAAAAATGAGGAGGTAGCACCACACAGCCCAGTGATTAAGCTATAGTTGGAAGCTCCCATATGCCAGGGTTGCATCTGATATCTTGAACCAGGTAGGTGTGTGTCCACATATTTTTTCATGGGGTTTGATGCAGTGCTTTCTTTCAGGTCCTGTCAATCACAGGACATAGGAGGATTCACATGATAGATGGCAAGTCATGTTGTCCGTGGTTACACATGGAAGTAGAGGAGAAAAAGTATTCTAGTTATTACATTTATGTGGTAAAATTCAAAAGAAGAAAATCTCTTTGGATGATCAGAGAAAGCTCATCACTTCAAAACTTTGAAGTTGAAGTAACACAGTTCACAATCCACTGGAAATTTTTGTGCCAAGATAATGTTACATGTTTTTAGTTAAAACAACAATGCCTTTTCAATGATCTTTCTTTTATTTCTGCAGATAATTAAGGAGCTGAAAGATGAAGATTGGAATATGGGCAATATTGTGCATACATTAACTAACAGACGGTATGAAGAAAAGTACATTGCTTATGCAGAGAGTCATGACCAGGTATTTTGTCTGTTTGTTTATATATAAGCAGCTCTTGTGGTTTGGTTTTAGTTTGATCCTTCTTTTTAATAAAGGACTCCTGCTTGGAATAGGTAGGTGTTACTATTTTCAGTTTTGTTTTTAAGAAGTGAATCCTACCTTCTTGTTTTGTCTGCCTGGCATAGAACATAGGAAGATGTATAATCCATACTTTGAAAATTATTTCCATTAAGTAAGTTGGAGCACTACTTATGATAAGCATAAACAGGATCCCAGTTTAGCATTCTTTTTATTGAATCTGTGCTTGTGACTGTTGTATTCCCTTCAAGAAGATTTTTCCTCTCTAAAAGGATTGCAAACATCTTCTTTTCAGACCTACATGGAATATTCTTCAGCAGTCTGGTTCGAAACACAACAATTGTAATAGCTCCATGTATGGAAAAATAAAAGTAATGATGAGTTTGGATAACACTTTCCTCCCACAATCTTTTTAATGGTTGTTTCTGAAGAGTCAGAAAGCACATTGGTTGGGAAGTGTAAAATTTAGAACATAAACCTTTTATTAGAAAATGGATATTTGGATTTTTTAAGCAACCTACCTTCAACTCCTGCCTCTACCTTCTATAATAAAAGTCAATTGTTCAAAACAATATCTATTTTTTAAAAGAGAATTCAGAGTTTATCATTCATTCTATCCATTTTGTGTACCTATTTGCATTCTAATCTCAGGTGCTGTTGCAGTGTTCACTGAAGGCATGAGACAAGTCCAAATCCTGGTAAAGGACTTCAGAAATTACTTGGAAATATATATTATTCTAGGATTATTTACTTTCATCAAAGCTGATTCTTCATCCTAAAGCATGACATATAACATTACTCTTGCTGTTCTTTTATTTTATGCTGGTTTTTTTCAAGTTGTTTTTCATATCACTATGTATTTTCAGTTTAGAATCTCATATTGAGGAGATCATCTATTTTTAATTACAATAAAAAGATGATTACAGGTGTACATCTGGTTGATATGCGAAAAGTAAGATAAAGAAACAAAATGGGTGTGTAGATAAAATGCAGTCTGAAGGTGCTTGAAGTGATGCACCTGAGGCTACAATTCTAGTTTGTTATATGTTATAATGGGCTGTGAGCTGATGATTACCAGTCAGAATACAAGACCTTGTGGTTATAAAAAGTGTGTGAAAATAGCAGCTTGAAGCTAATTGCTGTCAAAAAAAAAGAAGATGCAGTACTGGAATTATTATGAATGGAATGGAAAGCAAAGAGCATAATCAGTATGCCACTGTAGTCTTCCATGGTTTGTGTGCATCTTGCATGCTGGAGGCAGATTTGGTCTCATTTCTCAAAGGATGTACAGCATAACTGGAAAAAATGCTGTGGGAGGGTTGGTAAGAAGAATAGCAGGTGTGGATTGGTTTTCATAAGAAAAAATTAAATAGAGTGAGATTCTTCAGGGTATCAAAGAGATCAGTGAAGGGGGAAAGATAAGTGTATAAACTCATGGCTGTCATAGAAAACATCAATAGGGAACATGTGCTTTCTCTTCTAATGGAAAGATTAGGGGATATTAAACCAATTCCACATTCTGAGACCAAAGGAGAGTTGTTCCTTGCAGTCTTCTCTCTTGTCTTTGCCTCATAGGATTTTTTTAATATTATGAAAAAAATTTTGAAAAAAGGTTCTTTTTTACTTAAGGGTATCGCCTAGATATGCTGTTGTATTGTCAGTTTGAAAACTAAGGGATGACGGTGCTTTTCAGCTAGACCTGTTTACAATTCTTGTGTCTCTCTCTGGAAATTAGTGAGTCTTCATGCAAGAGTATAAAGTGAGAATCAGGCTAATTGAACAAAAATTAGCTATTTAAATATTAATGCTCCAAAATGTTTTCAACTACCTGCATGCTAATATTTTAGAATACCATTTGTGTGTTTTTTTTCAAGTAGTAGGAAGCACTAGCAAGTTAGTATTTCAGTCACTGTTTTTAGACAGAATTACTAGCTTGTTTTTTCTCTTGTGTGAAATCACAGAAAACCAATCACATTCTTGATGGCATATAAATGAATGCTTTGTACTCACTCTGCATATCTAAATCAAGAGTTTATTTCTACATTCCAGAAACTTTACTTGATGTTTGCTCTCTTATTTTCTGTGTTTTGTTTAAAAGTTTCCAAATGGTAGGTCACTTGGGACTTAGTGATTTGCTGCTAACATTTCAGATTTGATATTGTAG